CAAACAACTACTTGTTGTAAACTGGAAGTTTAGTTGCCTTCCTGAAAAACCCTAACAGAGGGTGTTGTTTGCTTTGCTGTTGTTTTTTTCCCTCAATAAATTCTCATGGAGTCTAGAACGAGCTGGTACAGAATTCAAATCTATTTATTGATTTTTGTGTGTGACTGTGAACGAGACATTTGTTCTGCACTTCTGCTCAAATTGCTGAAGGAAGACCCAGCATCAGCATTATCTTTTGGCAGTGCTTACTCCTCTCCAGTGATTTCTAGCACACATTCACCAGCTCAGTTAAATCCCTGAAGTCAGATGCATTCATGCCCTAAGTGAAAGTGAACAGAACGTTGGAAACAGTAAGAGCTCTCTGTTTCACTGAGCTGTGTGTTTGCTTTGTAGATGACAAGTATTCTAAAGCAATGGAAGTACACAAGGTTTTCCTATAAATTATCTCATTGTCTCTCTTGTGTTTATGCACACTCATATTTAATTAGATATAAATGGAAATGTATTCCACAGTCGTGTGAACTAAATCCATAGTAATTCATACACATTGTGCTTCAGGTTTTCATAATCTAAAGATTAAAAGAAACTGCTTCAGTTTGGCCTAGTGTGCTCCTTGGTGTATTAGAGGCTTCACCTTGGCACATATGAAATCCAAACTTGATGAGCTTGCCTACAGGCAATCTTCTACCTAGCTTTTATACTTGTATTTAATGAGTAGCTCAATAGCTACTGAATTCGTAAGTTAGAGGTCTATACTTACAGATTAAAAACTAGAGATGGTCCTTGGCCATCTCAAAACTCCAAAAAAGTTTTTGTTGACACTAGAAATATTACACATTATTCTATTGCTATACCTCAATTCCATAAAATAGTCATGACCCTATGGAAACAAGAAGAGAGATGATATTTCCAAAGTATCATTAGAATTGTATTTATTTTCCAGTGAACAGCTATGAAGTGGAGATTTTTTAATCTACACACCTCTGTTAAAAAGTACTCACATTCTTGATGTGGTTAAGGATCTTTAAATATCTCTATATATTTGTACTTGAAAATAGAGGGATGAAGATTTTCATCTTCACATTTTATTACAGAGATATTTCTAAAGATACTTACTTAAACAATATCTAGTCCTAAGGAAAAGGTTGATTACATACCTCTCATCAGAAACTGAGTATTTTACAGTTTTACAGAGACAGAGCTAATGAGCTGGCTAATGGCAGGCTGTAGAACAAGTAACGCCTCTTGCTGCATGAAATATATTGCATAATGTTAACCTTTTGCCCAAGCCAAGCTTCTTAAGGTGGTAAACAATATTCAAATGTGCAGTCTCACACTGAGCAGCCTCAGAAAAAAATCTAGCTATGGTTGTTTTACCATAGCAATGCCATTATTCCTCTCATAGCTTGAGATCCACATAATGGCTCTGACACTTGTAGTTCTTTATTAAGCCATTAAATTACAGAATCAAACTATTTTGCAAAACTTGAGATTCCACTTTTCCTTTTGAATATTTTACCGTACCATTGTGGCTAAAAGGAAAGATCCTTTAATTCTGTATTTTCCGAACGTTTTTGTACCATTACAAGGATGTATTTCCAGCACCAAACTATGAACCCAAGTTTTCAAAAGTGAGTCAGGATCTTCAAATTGATTATATTAATTTTTTTTTTTTCCAAATCATAAGATTAAACCAAAGCATACTTTCTATTTTTCTTATTTGGTTTTGATTCTTCACAGTATCATTTGAGAGCGTTCCCCAAATCCCCAAATTCTTTTTCAGTATTTGCAAGAGTCCAGAGTTCAGGAGAGCTGCAAGAACCCTGAACTGGTAGAAAACCACATATCTACCTTAGCATGCTAGTAATCTCTGATTTGTCTATGAGGCATGGGAAGTTACGTATAGTTGCTGTGATTATTGGAGTCTTCTTGGCCAAGCTGAATATGAACAAATAGAATTGTTGAGAGATCACATAAAGAAAAATATTTTGGAGGAAAAAATGTGTTGGAGGTGTCAGTCTAATATTTTTAAGTATCTATCTAGATGCTTTGAAATATCTATTGCCATACATTATCTCATTCGAGGATGTGCAGTTACAGCATATAATTTTTAGTCCTATTTAAGTAGCTAATCCAACAAAGAGAGAAAAGGGGTGCAAACAGTAATGCAAGGAATGAGTGTCAGTCTTACCTGCCAACTATGGGATTATGACTGCTATTTTCAAGTAGATTATTTCAATTGGTTTGAAGGAAAATAGACACAGAGGATTCCTCTCACTTTGAGAAAAGAAAGTAAGAAGATCACAAATCACGCTAGCTTTGATGTGAAGCTACAGCTTTACTGAATTTCTGAAAACAAAGCCAATTCAAAGAGGATTTGGCCCTTCAGGAGATCAGGAAAGCTGACTGACGTCTTGAGCACTGCCAGTCACCATCTGCTGCGCTGGCACCTGGTGCCGGTTTACATTTGACAGTAACATTACACAGGTGTGAACAGAATGGGAAGCAAAACAATGGTGAATCAGGACCGTGGAGTACTGTTGGGAAATATTTGTTTTACACTGCACAAAAAAAAAAATTGTTCTTGCCGTTTGAGAGAATTTGGCTCTGTGAGAATTTGGCTAGGCCTTATCAGGCTCGAGATGAGCAAAGATCAGACTTCCTGATTCTGTACGTCACAGGACTACATAAAAAGTCTGAAGTAATCCTTCAAGTGCTATATAAACAGTTGGGAAAGTACATGACCTCAGGTCTTGTAAGATGGCACTTAGGGCCATGGTTCAGTAGGCATGGTGGTGATAGGCTGACGGTTGGACTTGGTGACCTTAGAGGTCTTTTACAGCCTTAATGATTCAATGATTCCTGCAATCTTTTTCAGTAATGACCAGTTTAGGAACCTTTTTTGCTTTTCAAGTAGAGCAGTATGAATGCATCATTCCTTGAGGAAAAGTTTTGGCTGTCTCTCAAAACATAGAGTAGGATTTTCATTCTGTAGAGGATCAGTGACAGAGAATAATTCTGAATGGAATTATCCAGCAATTCCTTGAACTTTTCAGCATTATGCAAATATGAGTCTAAGAATAAATGCAAATCTGAATTTGCTTAATTACACTAATTTAAATAATCCTTTATATTTCTGATTAAAAAGGAAGTCCTTAAAAATTAAAACCATTTTGAAATTAACTCTTTGGCCCTGTACTACAGAGCAGTGACAAATCTTTCTGAGGCACCAGCAGCCTGTTTTGATGTAGCTGCTTTAGCCAATGTGCTCGTTTCCAGTTTATCTACTGTCCATAGAGAACACTTCAATACAGAGACTTTCAAATTTCAGAATGCCTTCAATAATTAACTATGATTAGAGCTGTGTTTAGAAATAGGCACATTCAAGATCATGGTTTAGAAGGACCCACTTCACGTACTGAAAGAAGAATCAGAGAGTCATAGAATCACAAGGTTGGAAAGGACCTACAAGATCATCTACTCCAACCGTCTTCTCATTACCATTGCTACCACAAACTAAAACATATCTTGTAGCTCCTCATCCAGGCACCTCTTGAACACAGCCAGGGATGGCGACTCCTCCACCTCCCTGGGCAGGCCATTCCAGTGCTTGACCACTCTCTGAGAGAAAAAGTTTTTCCTCATGTCTAATCTAAACCTGGCCACAACTTGCAGCCATTTCCTCTGGTCCTGTTTGTTGCCTGGGAGAAGAGGCCAAACCCCTCCTCATCACAACCTCCCTTCAGGAAATTGTAGTGTGTGATATCATCTCCCCTGAGCATCCCCTTCTCTGGACTGAACAATCCCAGCTCCCTCAGCTGCTCCTCATAAGATTTGTGCTCCAGACCCCTTACCAGTTTCATTGCCCTTCTCTGGACACGCTCCGGGGCCTCAATGTCTTTCCTGTAGTGAGGGGCCCAAAACTGAACACAGTGCTCAAGGTGTGGCCTCAGCAGTGCTGAGTACAGGGGGATGATCGCCTCCCTGCTCCTGCTGGCCACACTATGTTGTGATTCCCTTCATAGCAGAAGAAAACTTGTGTTGATTTTTCCTGAAGATATAAAAAACGCACATGTGTGTAAGCAGAGCCATGGGTAGGGTGGAGTATCTCCAGCTACTCCTGTTGGTTCAACTCGGGCCCACGGGTACTGTCATTTGGAACAATGGGCAGCTGGGCTGGACTAGGGGCTGCCTAAACCTCCACCTGCCAACCCCTAGGGAGGCATGAAAGTGCTTCAGCTGCTCAGTCTCTGTAATTCAGAAAGAATTTAGGTTTTCCAATAGCGGAATTTCTGTGGTTGTTGCACTCCGGATCTTTCTGGTAGTTGGTTAAAATACTGGGCCTTTTCTTATTTATTTTTTCCTCACTTGATTGTGTGTTGTGATATGAAATTTGTTTGTAAATAATTAATCCAAATGAGTGTCAGTGCTGGTGAAGTATCTTTACCATGCCTGCGTCACAGTGCTGGTTCCCTGCTGGTACCCTGCCTGCTCGGTGCACCGTGCGAATGCTGGGTTTGGAAAATTTGGTATCAGGGACAGTGTCAGCTCATCCAGTTCAGCATGTATCCACAGAGGTCCTAATGAGAATCTGCTTTAAAAAGTTAACTTTAAAACACATATCCCTGCAGCGAGCAGCATCAATTCAAAGAGAGCACGTGAAATTCTGTAGCAGGGAGTTACAGAGCAACCTGCTCGACTTGTCCAGCTGCTGTTGCTCGGCCGCTGTCCTGCAGCACGAGGACTCTTATCTTGGGTGACGGCCTCGGAATATCCCTGCTCACGACTTCCCTCGTTTGTTCGCTCGGAAGGCCGCGTGGAACCGCGGATGGAGCCCCGCTGTAGTGGCGCGCTGCGCTGAGCGGAGCCGAGCCGCCGGGCGCCGGCGCGCCGCGTTCCAAGGTCCGGGTGCCTCGGCCGCCGGGACAGCGCTGCCGGGGCCAGACGTGGAGCTGGACCTTGGCCTGCGGGCTCCTCGCGGCTGTCCGCGGGACCCCGGCACTGCTCCCGGGCCGGCAGGTGCGCGCTGGGGAGCGCCTGGCGAGCCCGGAGACTGCGCGTAGGGCGCTTCAGGCGAGGCCGCTCTGCCCCGGAGCTCGTGCCCGACGGCTCCGCGCCGCAGCCGGCGGTATCGCGGAGAAGCGCCGCGCCGGGGCCGCCCCGTTTCCCCACTACGCCCCCCCGGGGAGGGGCCGCCGCCTCCCACGCCCCGCCGGGCCACCGAGGGGCCGCGCTCCGGCCACTCTCGCTGCGGTGCGGAGATGCTCTCGGGGGCGGCGGTGCGGGGCAGCCCGGCGGCGACCTTCGCCGAGGACGTGCTGCGCGTCTTCGGGAGCAACCGGAGCCTGTCGGCCGGGCAGCTCTCGGCGTTACTGAGCCGGCTGGGCGCCGCGCCCGCGCTGAGCGCCTTGCTGCCGCTGCCCCACCTGCATCACAACCAGGTACAGGTACCGCCGCGAGGGCCGGGCTGCAGCGCGACCGGGGTTCCGGCTTGGAGCCTTCGTGGTTCCTCGTGGGGAGGGAGGAAGAAAGGAGGGGAGGGAGGGAAGGAGGGAGCGAAGGTCCGCGGCGGGACAGCCGCTGCCATCCGTCGGGGGCTGCTGCGCGCTGCCCTCGGGTTCGGCTCCATCTGGCGTTTGGCGTGAGCAGACGGCCGTGAGAATCTGCTAGAGTATTCCTCCGGGTCTTATGTAAGCACGACTTCGGGACGTGTTAACGTGAAGCTGTTGTGTGATAGCAAGGACTAGGTCACCACTTGCGTGAAGAAACTTTCAGAAACTTCCACATCTTTTGTCTGAATGGAGTGCGGAGCGTGCATTCATAAGTTCATGTACTGAAATCTGTGTAAAACGTGTTTAACGTACTGACTGAATATTGCTGATCCCTTTTCATAAAATTATTCATTCTGTGTAGTGCCTCCATACAAAATTCAGGCAGTGTTGTTACTTTTAATTTCCTATCTATGTGCTGTCTGAAAATACCAGAGTTTCCCTGAAGGGGAATCCTTAGGCTGCTGGAGATATCCTTAGAAAAGGAAAGCGGGGTGGCTGTTTGCTTTGCTTTGGTTCAACCCAGCAAGAAACATAGGAGGTACTTTTCTGAGGACCGTGAGACACTTTTTTGTGCTTGGGGCAGAAGCTCCTTTGCTTGCTCAGCAATGGAGACAAACCTTGGGTAAACTCAATTTGTTTTAGAAGCAGTGTGATTCTGATGTCTTTTCCTTGACCAGGGATTTAATTTGAAGTTAATGCCACTGAAATCAACATAGTATTCAGTATAAGCATGGCAGTATTTCCCAGAGTCACTGCTTCTATTTCAAATTTCACAAATAAACACTGTTCCAACACGGTGTATTAAAAAAATGTGTATAATCATTTCCTGCCACCCATGCTAAATACAAGTTTGCAGTGTTAAATACAGTCGTGAAAAGGATCTTTCTTTAAAAGGGCTTAAAAATGAGTAGATTCCTTAGCGGTTCCTTCAGGTTTTCCCTCTGCAAAAGCACGTAGCCCTCGTACACAGACTACAGAGAAAAAAAACTAACACTTGTTCTTATTACTGCCAACACTATTCCTCATAAATCATTTGAAGCTTAACTGAAACAGTCTTTCTCTTTTAAACAGACCTGTTTTAATTGTGTCCTTTTTGAAAAATATCTAGGGCGCCCTACTGAAATGTGTATCCTTTTTTTGCTAAGTTACCTGAATTCCTTCTTAAAATTGACTTTTCAGCCATTTAAGCAAGTGAATTTAACGTCTTTGTTCTTGATCCTTCAGGGGTGTTAAGTATATCAGTGACTTTGGACAGTGCTGTCCACAAATGCATGCTCATAGTAAGTAACTCGTGTGGCCATTTTTGACACTGTGACTCAAACTTTGTGATTTCAAGCTTATTATTTTGAGTACCCACTGATTTTGGAAAAAAAAAAAAACAGAACCAGAAAGTGGCCTAATCCAGGTTTGTGTGTTGTAAGGCACCAGAGGCCCAAACTCTACTGAATCTCAATGGAGAAAAATAAGTACTTCTGGAGAGTGAATAATGTATTTTTCAGGCAGGCTGGGTCATCTATTGAAGTTGCGTAGATATCTGACTGTGGGAGGAAACGAGGATTATCTTAGACTTTCAGTTCCTAACTTCAGTGTCCAGAGTTAATGGGATGACTCCAGGTCCTTTCTTTCAGTGAAGATAACACACCCCTGCGCTATCAATAGCCCCTCATCCAAACCTGAGGTCATTTTTAGTGGAGAGCAGATCAGTAAGGGACAGTGACAGAACTCTTCAAAAACTGGCAGGAAGGAACAGCCTCTGTTAGTATTGTCCTTTTATTCCAGGTTGATTTGAGAAGTTAAGACAAGAGGAAAAAATGCTTTAATTTGTTAATGATGGGGTTTGAACATAAACTTGTGTAAAACTTTGTAGGCATGTATAGTAATTTACATTGTATGATGTCCAATATGACACTTTTTTGTGTATATGCATCATGTCAGACTACCCTCCTCCCCTTCCCCCCCTCCCCCCCCTTTTTTTTTTGAAATATTTTGAATATTTTGGAAGTTTTGATAGAGCTGTCTTCATTTCCTCATGTTTTTGCTCCTTTATTTTCTTTCATTGAGAATTTTTATAACTCTCTTTATTTTGTGTCTGCAATTTTTTTGCTCTTCGCTTTTTTTTTTCCCATTATCATCATTCCTTAATGTGCAAGCTAAGACTTTCTTCAAGAGGAATAATGGTAACTGAGGAAACTCAAATACTGCTCCCTGCTGTTTTTTCACACTTCACCGTGGAATTCCAACACATTTTAGTCCTACAAATAGCTGTAAGACTAGTGATGATTTCAGTATTATAGATGATAGTGTTTACTCACTACATAGCATTTACTCACTATGTCCTTTACATTGTTAGGAAGAGATGTAAAGACAAAGCTATACTTTATTTTCTGTCATTGATTTCATTGTCATGTAAAAGGCATACATATATATTCAGAACTTTTAGTCAGAAAATATGTTGAAAGTGAGCGGATGTTGGAAAGAAAGAAAGCCTCTTGACATTGCCTTTATTCTATTCTTTGGAGTAGTCAGTAGGTGCTAAAATCATAGTCGGACAGTTCTAAAATTGTATTTATGCAGCTTTTATGTTGCACCTGAGTATTGTCTTAATGTAATGTATTTTATTTTTAAAACAAAACTTTGGACAAAATAAAGAAAAAACCTTTATTGAGATTAGTGTTCTGATATTGTGTATTTTTGATTCAAGATGAATCAGAACAGTAAGTTTGATGCTTTGGATAAACTAGAACCTGGCAGGTATCTGCTATTAATTAATTTATTTTGGTAGTGTTTCCTAGTTTGCTGGTACTTCTTGAAAGAAGGATGAATGTCCTGACAGTGTGTGGCTTATGGTCTTGATCCATCACCACAAAATGATGTTGTCTAGCCAGTGAGAAGATAAATAGGCTTTTTTGTTCTACTCAATGTCTTACTTACTGGAACATTTCCAGCAAATTTCAGCGTTCATGAACATTTTTCAGCTCCCCACATAAGCAGCTACCTTGAACGTATGTATGAAATCCCCAAGCACACAAATGTATTCAGGCAGCTTCATACGGTTGGACTGTTTCTTACAGAGAGCTGCTTATTGAATGCATGATTGTCTCCTAGCATCCAGTTCTCACCTGTGATGTGCGACAAGAAAAATCTGTCATTGCATCAGCAGTAAATGCTTTATTTTGTTAGAAGAAAGTTGAGGAAAGCGTATTTATTTGTCTTTATTTTGCTTATCTAGGCTAGGCTAAGTAAAAAAAAGCACACTGGTCAGAAAAGTATCTACTGCATTCCTTCAGTGCTGTTGCTTCTGTATGACCCAGTGCTCAGCCCTAGTGTGGGCTAGCCTAGTATTTAACCTCTTAACATCTAGAAACTGCAGTGATGGTTGCTGTTGGATATCTCAGTGCTTCACATGTGGAATGCTATAGATAAAGGTAAAGCAAAGATAAGAATACATCAGAAAATCAGAAAGGGGAATGAAATGTTTACAAGATGGTTAGCATTGTAGTATTTTTTAATTCATTTTCCTGTTAAAAGGCACTTTGCCTTATTTTTCTGAGCAATTATCTCATTCTTTCCTGTAAATAATGTGGCGATCTGCTTTTTTATTATAGATATTTGCTATGCTGGTGTGAAAAGACTGTAGGAAATTGAACATCACTTTATTTCATTTCTTAAAAGAAAATCCTGTACTGGTCAGTTCAGAGACATGGTCAGTTATGGTCTTTGAAACAGTGAGTTAAAGACTTGGTGACAGTCAAGTTATAGCCAGTCATCTCACTTTTAGCACCATGACAAGGCTTACTGAATAGCAAGGGACAGGCATGATGGTAGACTTACTGAGCCAGGACGTCATCCTCAGTCCCCTGTTCCATGAGGATAAATGATATTTCTGCCGAGATTATCTGTCAGTCCTACAAAATAAATAGCTTGAGTTTTTACAGTAATGTGATTGTCTTAATGTATTTACCCTCCAAAGATAAATACAGTTTTGCAGTGTGCAAACATAAGTTGCTCCAATCCAAGACTTCTAAGTGATTAAATCTTTTAATTAGTCTCTTAATTGTGTCTGTGAACTCACACAAGCTTGCGTTTCAGCCCTTGGATGAATGTAGGAGTTGCTGAGAGGATGAGGTAACTCATAACAATGAATCATTTACAGGAGTTGCTATCATCTGGGTTTGTCCCTGATCAAAATAATAATAGTAATTAAATAAAATGCTGTTTCTTGCCCTTGCATAAAAGAGCTCTTATCCAATGAAATTTCTCATTTCATTGTAAGCCACAAGTTTACTAATTCATGCTTGTCGAATTAATATTTTTTATGCTCCAACAAAAATATTTATTTGTTTTCTTTTGTAAACTAATATTAACATACTAGTATTTAAAATTACTAGTCATCTATTCTATATTTCTAGGAAAGAGATATTGAACTATTTTTGAGGTAGCCATGTCATGAACCTCAGTGCACACTGGCTTGTTTTTCTAGCAGACATTCACTGCAGCCTTCCACAAATGGCTCTGTGAACTAGCTGATAATAAAAGAAGCACAGTATAGGAACTATTCCTATAGACCACAACTATCCTCTCTTTGTATTGTACTGGGAATATTAGCCATATATTCTGCATTATTTCATAATGCAGATTTAAAGGTAAAATTATTAGACACAGAACCAATCTAGAAAGATTCAGAAGTTCAGCTACCGAGCTGTAAAAAAAAAAACCACTTGTCTTCAGTGATGATTTCTCTGTACAGTAGTTCCACTGAGACTAAATGGGTCAACATGGTTTAAAACAAACAAACAAAAAATTAGACTGGGTCATTCAAGAAGAGGGGCAGAAACATTCTGAATATAATTTGGCTGAAGTCATTTGAATTAGCCTGAAGGTTCTTCTCCTCTCAGCTAAAAGCAAAATAGTTACATGAAAATGATATGTGCATACCTTTCACCTTTTGGACAGTATTAGAAAAACATTTATTAATGGAAATGGAGGCAGCTCTGTTGAAATAAATGAGTTGTAGTTACTTTGGCTCATCTCCAGAAGAAGTTTGCTTTATTAATAACCCTGAATTACTGGAGAAGTGCAGGGGAGTCTGAAGGCTAGTAAAACTGAATAGAGTAGGGAGTGACCATTGGTCATTTGTTAAGGCTTCTGATACTCTGTATGCTTGCAGTCACACTGAGATACGCTACAGAGCATGTTGTGTGCTGAACTGATGTCTCGTATAGAAAGAAAGCACTTTTTGTCTTGAGACTCATCCTTAGTATGTGTATGTTGTACATCAGCATGTTAAATTACTTCAGTTTGCAGCCAAAAAAATAAAGCTGTGTGTTTATTGATCATTGCCAGGGAACATGAATATGAATAAGTGGAAATCGTTAGATGAAAGTCTTTAGTGGTGTGGAACATTTAATATAAAAGTACTCATTTTTTTCCATAAATATGTGTTTTAAGTATTTTATTGTTGAAGTATTTTATCTTTTTGGTTGAAAATAACCAAGAGAAGGACCAGGCTTAGTTTAGCACAACTATGTACATTTATCCTTGACCATTAGGTACTATGGTGTCCTGAGCTGAAGGCAAAGTGAAGATCCAAAGAAGGAGTGGATTTCACTGGAGTATGGGATAGTTTTACAAAACAACGGTTGTTAATAATTGTTGCTTATAAAATTAATGAAAAATGTTGCACACTGCTAACATTAAATGTTGCAGCATGCAACATTTGGACTGTTCTTGAACAGTTAATTTGAGGAAATAATAGGCATTTCTGTGAAGTAGAAGCAGTCATTTATATGAGTAAGCAGTCACTGAATTACCAATCCTTTCCCGATGCTCCTCCGTCACTAAGATTTTTAATTGTATCTAGTCTGTTCTTAAATTTAATTATTTTGTAATTACATAGGACTTTAATTATTTTGAAGCTATACTTCCAAATATTGTAAGGTTTGTCTGCCCTGGTTCACAGCATGTAATATTTGCAAATATAAATGTAAAACTTGTTTCATGATTTTAAGTTATCTTAAAATACCTCAGTTCCCTTCTGCTTCACATCAATCAATTGCCATGTTTTCATGAGCAGTGTGCAAAGAGTGTGTACACTACTTTGAAAATATGTTAGAGCATTTTTATGTCGTAATTCTTGGGTTTCTCTATGGATGGTTTACTTTATTTTTATTATTACTATTAATGTTGCCAAAAATCCTTTTTGTTGCAGTGCCTGACTGGGGAGGAAATTTTTTCTCTGCATGGAATACCAAACAACAGTCACATATCAAATTCAGACTTCTCTACAGTATGTCCTGCTGTTTTGCAGCAGCTAATTTTTCACCCGTGTGATCATCAGGAAAATTCTGTGGATGCATCTAGACCACATTCTTTACAAGGTTTGTTATTTCATTGATACTCTGATTAGATTGCATGGAACCTACAGTATGGTAAAAAAAAAAAATATAGGATAGAGAAGAATCAGTTGGTTGACAAAGTCTCTTGTTCCATTAGTGAGGATCAAGTATGTGATATCCAAATTCATTGTTCTTGGGGACCAGATGTAAAAGTTGAGATGTCGAATGAGCATGTGCCAAATGAGGGTATTTATTAGCAGAGGTACTGCAATGTTTTTCATTACTTTCAAAATACCAGCATTAGTTACATTTCAATTAGTATAAGTAATTATAAATAATATAATGTTTTTTAGGAATTACTGATCATTCCTAAAACTTACCTGTTGCTGTGAATAATAAAAACTATATTTGATTAATCACTGACATTGTGGCATTGATTTATCATGACTGTTTTAGATTATTTATACCTTATGAGGGCACATATTTTCAGGAAGCTTTTAGTATCTACACCAGAGGGTGGGATCTGTTTGGCTTTTTTTTTGGTACTGTTTGTTTATTTATTTATTGTTGGGTGGCACTGTTTGAATAGGTTGTATGCAGAAGGCTTGATCTATAGTTGATCACGTAAGGCATGTAGACCACCGCTCCTATTTTTCTTTTATCCAGATGGCTCAGAAGCAGTGTCCAGTAGACAGATAAGCAAGGCAGTGTTTTCTCTGCCCCTCCCTTGCCTGCAGCACAAGAAATCTGCAAGGCCCATGCTTAGAGTTTTTAAAAACCACAAGCATGTGAGACTGTGACAGGGAAATTCACAGAAAGATCCAAAGCCAAAAGTATGCTTTAATGCATGTATATCCTGCTGTAGACTTATGTCTTGCCTTCCATCCCTTATTTAAAAAAATAAATCTGTATTGTGGCAATATTGAGAGTGGTTGATTTCTATTACTGTCCATCATGCAAAATTCACAAGGCATGTTTCCATTTGTGCTTCTGAGTTTTCTGCTTAGGGACTCTCATGCATTTTAAGAATATCCAAAATATGAACAGATAAGGCATATAGAAGAAATTAATAAACTTCATTGGGCAGCTACTTGCATTAAAAAGGTGTTGCATAAGCAAAGTAGAAGTTAAAAGAAAACGTATAGTGTATCTTTTTTCCTTGGGCTTTGTGTATCTAATATCTAACCTAGCTGACACACTTGTTTCCTCCTACCCTTTCTCACCCCTCTGAAGTGTAGTAGGGAGTAGTATAGAGCAGCATGAAATAGCTGTAAATGTCCAAGGCTAATGTGCAATTGCTATTCTGTGCAATCCACTTGGCTTTTTAAAAAGATTTTCTTCTTTTTAGGAAATTGCTCATGAGGAGCCTGAGCCTGCCTCAGGAAGGCCTTGAGCAAGGGTCCCCACTTCTTGTAAGGAATAATACTGAGCACTGGAGTTTTGAGGGGGACTTGCTCTTCTGCTGCCTATTTTTTTGATTTCTCGTGCTTTGGCATCTGAGCACTCTCTTCGTTGGTGCTGGAGTTCTAGAGACTGATAGAGTGATTATTGGTGAAAACTGTCCATGTCACGGTATCAGGGTAGACTGTGCTTCAGTGCTTTGCTCTGTTACATGATCTCAGACAAACCTGTTTTCGAGGGAGTATTCACTCTTGGAAGGCTTAGTGTGGATGGAGTCCTAGTGAATAAAAACCATTTTAAGAGAACAGTGCATACATGATATGGTGAAATACACTTTATAATACAGCAATAAAGCAACTTTGGCAACATTAGTTATCTTGGAATCTTATCACTCCCTCTCCTATCCTCCCCCACCACTTTGCAGTATTTTTCTTAAAGTAACAATTCCCATAATTGTATAATCATGGGGTAATATAGTAATAGTGATAAATCAATATGTTAAATTCCAAAGCATTTGAGCCATCCAGATCTAGAACAGAATATTAAGAACAAGACTCCTGCTTTCTGGTCCTACTCATCTCTGGTAAATTAGGAAGTAAAAAGCCTTTTCTTTACTTTTCTCTGTGGTGACAAAAGGGGATAATTCATACCAATGGATTAGACTATATCTCTACTTGCCAGCACAGATTCTTTTTGTACCTTTAGTCATCTCTTGGTGCGTTAAGCATACAGAGTGATGACAGGTATTTCATTTACTGCATATGCTTCATGTTAAGTGTCCCAGTACGTGCGGATGTTCTGAACAAACTGCCAGCATGAGTGTTAGACCATACATTGGAAAAGCATGTAGTATTGTGGGAACTTTCAGAATTTGGCAACACCCTGTTTTTCTGTGCTTGCTTTTAAGCTCCATTCTCCTACTGTTTTGGCATCCACTGTTTTACATACACAATTTGTGAATTTATCCTCTTTGTCTTTGGTTGTAGAAAATGATCTGTAGTGACAAGATTTTTTAAACATAATTTGTGAAACTTGTTCCAATTTCCTGTGTCTAGTGAAGTAATTTGGGCATGTAGCCTAAATGCTTCATATCCAATAAAGATTTTATTTGTTTATAGTTTTGTTAACTCAGTTTAAAATGTGTATTTCTCTCAGGATAAATATGTAGGAATTGTTATTGTCTTAAACTGAGAGACTTGCTCTTCTATAGTAATCCCAAATGGTAGTGTGTGACTCATAATGACACTTATTTATTATAGATTTGATCTCTAAAAGACATTTACAAGCTTGACTGTCCTGTATTGCAATGGGAGTGAAGCTCCTGTGCAGCTTAGTGAATCTAACTGTATCTAGTGGTCTATTTATCCCTCTCTATCTCCTTCTCTCTAAAAAATGGCAAGCGAATATTTTAATTGGCACTGATGTACCTCTTGCAAATGCTTTGAATGCTTCTAGTGCTGTCTGTTCTTCCTGTTCTTTACACAATATGAAATTCATCACATACAGAAATTATATCTCTGTGCAAACAATGTGTAGCAATCCCAGTTGCAGGTGATGAACCTGGACTAGTGTGTTTGCTAATCCAGTGTTACAGGAAAGTTGGGCTGTAGATTTCAATCTGATCTGTTTGTTTCTGCTATGCAGAAAGGAATTTATGGTAACTTCTCTACGTACATATGGCAAAACTTATAATGAGGCTATTATATTGATGCAGCTTTTTTGATTATACCAAAGTGTTCTTATATGTCCAACATTGTGTTGGCTTTGATTGTAATCTGTGGTTGATTTTTAAAGACAAATGCTTTGTCCGTGTGCATATCTTTGTGTTTCTGTGGCCTCACTTGAGGCAGTATTGTAGACTTTATCAGTGCAACCCTTAAGGCTTTTTTTGTACTCACAGGGACTTGAGATGCAACTGGGTAAAACTGGAGCTACATAGAAACAAACTGTTTTGATGATTATTAAAAAAAAAAAGCAACAGCAAAACCATGTATTTCCCTTCTGTGGGTATATGCCTTAAATATCTGTGCTTTTATAATTTTTATCTTTGTAAAGTATAATTGCAAGTAGGAAACAATTATTTTTTCCCAATTCAACATCAATTCAGATGTTATATAAAATCACAAGCAGCCCTAAGTGAATTTTATACTAACTTTTTTAATATTTCTGTGTTTGTTTTTTATCCACAGTTTGGGGATTTGGGTTCCTAGCTGTGACTATCATTAACTTGGCATCACTTCTGGGATTTATTTTAACTCCTCTCTTAAAGAAGTCTTATTTCCCTAAGATTTTAACCTACTTTGTGGGCTTGGCCGTCGGTACTCTCTTTTCTAATGCAATTTTCCAGCTCATTCCAGAGGTAAGCAAAGAAAATCTTTACTTTTTTGTATGATAGTTTCCAAAGTGTATTAATTCTAGAAGCATGCTGCAGTGGTCTTCTGAGAGTGTAGGTTGAAGTCTCCAGAGGGTTGTGGTTGGCCATCAGTGACACTAGCTTCCCTCTCTGTCTGTCTGGGTGGGCAGAGCTATCAAGATCCACGTGTTCCTGTGACCTGGGGAAGACCAAGAGTTATTCTGCCTCTAGACAGAAAGAGGAATGGATTGGATAAAGTTCTAGTGGTCTTAAATTTGTTCCAAAGTAGACCTCCTAATTTTGCAGTTAACTACTACATCCTGCATGTAAAATTCTGCTGTATTAAAACTCTGCTGGTATTTAATCCAAATTGAAAAAAAAATCTAGGAGGATCAGGATTTTTCATAATTTCTGCCTCATTGGAACTTGTAGCTGATACAAAGACTGTCTATATTTTTGTAGAATATTTGTGTGTGGTGGGGGAAATTGTTACGAGAATGTACTAAGATTCCAGTCTAATTTGCATTGCTTTTATCTTCTGTTAGGCATTTGGATTTGATTCCCATGTAGATAACTACATTGAGAAAGCAGTTGCTGTATTTGGAGGATTCTATATTCTCTTCTTTGTGGAAAGGATTCTTAAAGTGATACTAAAGATCTATAATCAGGTAACAAAAGGCTAACTGTGCAAGCCTTACATGTTGTTTTTTATGAGCTTCTTGATAGCTTAATAAGATGTGGGATTTTTTTTTTTTTTTCCTGAGGATTTCAGCATTACTGAGTGTTCTGATGCATCTGTTTTCAATCCATATGGAGAGGTAAAGCAATCTCACTTTTTTGAGGAAGTTACAAGCAGAACTGGAAGTAGAATCCAGGTGTGTGTGTTTGTGTGTGGTCTGATGTCACTGGCATATGCTCTAGCTGCCTTCAGGGGCCAAGTCTGCAGTATGCTAGCTAAACATCAGAAGAAAAAAAGTGTAAATACGTAAAAGTTGAAGAGAATGGAGTATCCCTCTGGAGCTCCTGTCCAGGCAGGAGAAACCACTGTAACATATATATCTTCTTATTCATCTGTAAAGTTCAATTTGTTTGTGCTGACAGTTCCTGAATCTCACCTGCAGTGACTAGCTCTGTGTTCCCCATGCTCTGGTACACAAACCTGCTTTAGTGGCACTGCAATTACCTAAATACTACACGACATGGAAAATTGGCTCTGCATTCTACCCGTATGTCAGAGTACTTTATTTCTGCGTGCTCACATGGATGAGACTGTATTTGTATCAGAGAAAGGCCTCTCAAACTTTCTGGACTTTCTAATCATGTCTTGCCAAGAAAACTGTCCTCTGTTCCTACTCTTACATTGCTCTGGGTCTTTGCTCTCAAACTGATCATGCTATTGAAAATAATAAGGATCCAGTTGTACCTTGTTTGCGATGGCTATATGAAAAATGGGAAAAAATAATTTGCACTTTATTTTTGGTAACAGCTCTACTTGGTAAGCAGCTGTGAATAACTAGCAAATGTTGATACTAATGGTGAAGACATTTGGTTTTGGAAGACTCTATATAAAGGTATAACAATTTCACAGATATTTGAGGAGTTTTCTGGCTAACTAAAAGTAAGAAATATATTGGGAACTTAAATAAATTTGGAGTTCATCTAAAATTTTAAATATTAAACGATTTATTGCTGCTCATTTAAGCATTTACTTGGTATTGAAAGCAAAGTAACATGAATATGATGCCCAGTGCATTTTCTTTTAAGGTCTGTATTTCTTTCTTATTTCACTTTTTATTTAATAAGCTACCTATTTATTTATTTGTCATCCAGCCTGGCCATAATGACTTAGAAAATGGTGAACAGAATCAATCTAAGGATAGGACTAGTCCCTCCAAGCCACCATCATCCAGCAATGGAGTGACTTGTTATGCAAATTCAGCCATCGTAGAGAGCAATGGAAATTTTGGTTTTGACAGCATTAGTGTTGTCTCAGCACAGGTATGAAAATTATCTATTTTATTCCTACCTATTATTGTGAAGTTTTTCTACATTTTTAGCTTATAGCTTGCTTGAGCCCTATAAAAATGCATGGGTTTTTCTGGGGCAAAATTAGGAAAACTGAACAGTGGCTTCAATGAGAAACCAACCCAAAAAGATAGTAGATATCAGTGTGAGGGAATATAGGATGGAGATAAATGTTTAATCAGGTAATTTTGTTGATTTTAATTTTGTTTTTACTGATTTGTTTAAAGTATTTTTTATTGCAATGTGCCCCATGTTATGTTTATGACAACACATAACGTTAAGTTTGAGAACTTGGTTTCTTTGAATCAATGATTTTTGAGGAAAACTGGTACAATAACTGTCATGCTGGTTGTGCTTAGTCCAGTATACGTAGGTACTGTAGGGATTATGGAAGTATCATAGGTTGAGACAGTAGCTGTTCCTCCTGGTTTAATTTTTTTTTTTTTTTTCAGATTCGTTGTTCTATATTTCAGTGTTTGTTTCTATACTATAAATATAACCTCCTTCTGTCTGAGAAGAAAATGGTAGCAGGGAGAAAATGTTGGTGAACTTCTTTATTCTTTTCCTTGTGCACAGAGGAGCGGTACTGCCCTTTGTTTAAAAAAGCAGCAAACAAACAAAAACAAAATGGAAAATTATAACAACTGTAAGATGGCTGAGGCAGATTTTTCACAGTAAAGATTTCTGGTTTACTGCTTGTGCTCTTTACAAAGTAGTGCAGTAGGGTAGGTCAGCATCAAATTTTACATGCTTTTGATACTTAGGGATCCGCTTGGGATGTATAAATTATATTCATAATAGAATTTGACTATCCTCTTAATCCAAAGCTCAAGAAAGGGGACAAACACAATATACAGTAACTTTTACAATGGTAGCTTTTCTTAAACTTGCTTCAGAGACCAGTTGCTGAAAATGCCTGTAGTCCCAAGCATGTAACATGAGATGTGTATAATAAAACTTTACAATGACTTTTATTTATGCCTCCTGGGCAGTTTCAAGGTTTCTTGATCCTGTTGGCAGTCCCAGAGGATGCTAAAGGATATCTGTGGAAGATGTTTTAAGTAGAGAGGTATTGCTCTGTCCTAAATCCCATTGGATCTTCTGCTAACGTGCAGAACAAAAACTCTTGTTCTACAAGATTTTAACAAATTGAGATTCTGACTTATGTCTGGGGGAGTCACAGATTCTTTAGTAATTGCAATAGTAACCTGTTGAGATAACATAAGATGAAATAAGAGAGTCTCTATATCATTTCTTAAGTTTAGAAACAAAGAAGAGACCATTGCTTTGAAAGTTTTTGTTTTGTTTTGTTTTGTTTTAAGAGCAAAAATAGCCAGGTTAGCTTTGGTTTACCATAAATTGTAGTGATCCAAACAATACAGAACTGTGCTAATAATTAATAAAAGTCAGACCTGATAGATCTGTTGGGTGTTCCTGAGCTCCTTAGCTGGCATCTCTTCTGTGACATCTTCTGAAGTACCACGACAAAGGGGGAGCAGTACTGCAGAGACAGACACTGTTCATTTTTGCCTTTGAAGCCCTCGTATTTGGGTGGTAAATTTATCAATAGTCTGCCTTGAGCAGAATATGAGAATATGTATTAGTCATTTGTCTATTTCTATTGGACATATAGCCTAGTAAAGTTCAGAATGTAAACCCAGATGAGCAATGTCCTTGTACTTTATATGATTTACAAAAGAAATCCTTTCCCCAAGAAAGTAGTTTTACAATTAAATCAAGGCTTCTATCCTAATTTAATTGCAGTTACTGTAAAAAAGTAAAAGAAACTCTATAGATAATCAAAATATCAGCTCATGTCTGAAGTCATTTCAGTTCTTCATGAGTTCTACAGCTAACTCTTAACATCATCTTCTTACCCAATGTTCCTTTTCTTCATATAAGCATAAAAAGTGTGTATATTTGTGAAGTATTTATTTTAACAGAAAAGTCCTTGAGATCAGATTTTTATATTTATCATAAATATGTATGCAATGATTTGGAGTTTAATTGGAATTCTCACCTGTGCAACTGGCAGAAGAAAATGAGTTCTTTATATAATTCTTGGCTAAGCCTGTTATGCCTCTACAGCCCAAAGAGAAATGTAGACACATGCATCGTTTCTACTGTGTTTCAATTTGCAGGGAAGCTTCATGTTTTTTTAAGCCATTTTTCATTTCAAATCATAAAATTATAAATCCGGAACTTGTTATGCACCAAATAGAAGTTATAACTGTGCTTTATGGCATTTGTTCCATTTCTTAACTGAACCTTTATTAGCTACAAATTCCAAGTAATGCAATACACATCTAACTTGGAAATCCTGATCTGAACTTTCATCCTGTTCCAAGGCAGCTGCTACATAGAAGGATGCAGTATGTCAGACAAGAATGGAGTGGGCAAAGTATGAGACAGACCTCATTGCTCTGTCATTAAAGATATTGAAAGCATTCATTAATTGTTATATTTCCATTAAGTTCAAACTTCAGTTGTGTGGTAGCGTTATTATTTGATTTGACAAAGATAAAACAATTTCCATATTTGCAAATCCTTTTTTTCCCCCCGAATACTATGTTTGCAAATATAATGTAACTGCAATATATGTGTGTACAGAAGTTTATTGAAATGGATCATTAGAATTTTTTTAGCAAAGATTATTTGTGCTCCCAACTGAAACGGCATTTCCTTTTATCTTCATCTAGTGTTTCATTACTTCATGATGGCAGATATATAAATTGCTTCCATTTCTGGGAGGAATGATTGAGAACCCTGGGGTGTATATGCATTACAGTTTTATGTCAGCCAGTTGTTTTTGTGCTATGTGACTTCAACTTGCACGATCAGAACTAGGCACTGTATGTTCTTACTAAACATGAAACTTGTAAAAACTGATTTTGATAGCTGGACTTGACTATCATCAATCAAAATTAGAAATAAAATTAGCAGGCTACCTGGATACATGTCTAGGTTCCCACTTAGCTAGCTGGCTGATACTGACTGGTGATGGATGCATCTGCCTCTAAGAACATGATATGCTGGCAGCAGCATGTTGTTGGTCCAGGTCTGTTTTAGGTAGGAAACACAGATGCTCTCAATCGCAGTGATCAGATCCTTCCTGTTGTATGCACTTAATAGAGGTGGCTGAAGAAGCTGTGAAGATCTATATCAATCCTTGGCAATCTCTTAATCTGAGCAAGATTTCCAGAGACACATTCAGACACTGTGATCTGGAGTTTTTTCTGTCTCAGACGGAAGGTATTCAGATAAAGCTGTAGAGTTAGGTGATCAGGCCTTTCACTAAACTGTTGAAACAGAAAACGTTTGCTGCTGTTACCTATGCTGCCTTCTTCTTAGACCAAGCATTCTGGTATCCTTATGTCTAGTGCTTTATTTTATGCTCAGCATTCGTTTAAAGCCAGAACTGTGTCTCATTGGCTTTTTTATTAATTGTTTTATGTAATTATTTTATCGTGTTGTTTTTCCAGGAAGAAGCAATTGAGGGCAGTTTGTGTAAATGTCTTGGTGGGCGCCCACTGTCAAAGATTGGAACCATTGCTTGGATGGTAACACTGAGTGATGCCGTACATAATTTCTTAGATGGTTTGGCAATCGGTGCTTCTTTTACTTTGTCTCTGTTTCAAGGACTTAGTACCTCCATAGCCATCTTGTGTGAAGAGTTTCCTCATGAGCTGGGTAAGAAACTTCATTCAACATATTTCTGTGGTAACCACCAGTGTGGGAAGTTACGCTTGCCAAACTTGGCATAGGTTGAATGGAAATTTAGGCAATTCATTGGAAAAAATGCTCACCAAAATATCTTCCCAAGTACCAAAATACATATCTATTGTAGTTCTTGAAAGTTCTTGAGTGCAGGTGGATGGAAGCTGGGAATGAATATTAGAACAGTGAATCACAAATCACAGAAAGGCTGGAGTTGGAAGGGACCCCAAAGGTCATCTAGTTCCAAGCCACCTGCTGCGGACAGGAATATTGTTCACACGTGCCATCCTATGCATGGGTTTTTTTTTCTTCTTTCTTCTTTATGGCTAGTCCTGTATTCTCAAAATCTAGCTAAATTCTGCATCACCTAATTCCTTTAGACTGTTTTGGTTACCTTAGTATTGAAGGGAAATGCTCATCATTTACCTGAATGAAAGAAAAACAGCAGTGGATTACAAGTTGTATACAATTATTTTCTTTTCCTTCTTAATTCCTTTGAAATCAGAAAACAGTTTCATTTGCAGAAGACGGTTTTCTCTTTTTTCATTTCTTTTTTTCACTTGTAGGGGATTTTGTCATCTTGCTTAATGCTGGAATGAGTATTCGACAGGCTCTGTTTTTCAACTTTCTGTCTGCATGTTCCTGTTACATTGGGATGGCTCTTGGAATATTAGTAGGCAACAACTTTGCTCCTACCATCATTTTTGCTGTAGCTGGTGGAATGTTCCTGTACATCTCTCTGGCAGATATGGTGAGAAAGAATTCCATTTTTTCAGTTATTTAATTTTCTTCAAGAAAACAAAGACTTCAAAAGCAGTGTCTCTGATGGAAATTACTATTCTGTCTCTTTCATGCTAGAATCATCTACTTCTTGTTATTAGATGTTAAATAATCAATTATGACCTTAATGGAGGTGCACAAATAATTATGCTTATTCATTAAATGTGAAAGTCTTTGATTTCACAACTAGGACTGGCCAAACTATTACTGAAAAGGAATTTTAAATAAGGGAAAACTTTTCATGACCTTTGGTAGTTTTCATTAAAGAATGAAAACAAATTTATATATATTTTCAGCATTTTAAAGTGTTTTGATTATTAAATTAATCACTTGCCTCTTTGGAAGACATCTTCCAAAAGAAAAGGAAAAAAATATAAACAAAATGAAACTAAATATTTTGTTTAGAGTTGAGTTAATAACAGAGGATTTTATAAGTATTTCTTGGAGTTAAATAAGCAATATAAATAGTTTCTTTATTAAATTTGCAGTACCTTAATTACTAATGCTTTTTATTTAGTTTCACTCTGTTATAATGAATCATAGTGTACTCAAGTGTGATATTAAGAACTCATGGCATAAATTTAGTGTGGCTCAATTTAAAGTTATTATTATTAAATCTGTTGAAGTAGGTAACATTCTTTTCTTTATATGTGTTGCTCTGCATGCTTTCTTTCTTCACCCTCTCCTCCAACATCTTCTTTCCTACTTCTCTTTCATTTTTTAGGTTTTTGGATTGTATCTGCCACCTGTCTGATCTTCCCTCTGAATTAGGGTGCTTTGCACGGGATCTGGCTTTCTGCTTTCTGTTATGATTTTCACACACTTCTGTTCTGCTTGTAGAAGCAGGTAGGATTAACAAAAATGTCTTATCTACTTTCTTTTCCTTTTCCTGTTCTTTTCCATTTTGAACAGAGGCACTATCTAGCCTCCATGTTAGTAAAATCATCACATGATGAAGCTGAGGGTGTGTGACAATGTGTTCACTGAGGTGTGCGAGTACAAATGAGCCTTGCTGTATGGCATGAAGCTAATCTGGTTTCTTGCCTCTTGTGCAAGAGGAACACAGAGTTCTTGATTGATTTCTGGGAAGGTTTAGCCACTTCCTCCTTACCTTAATCTATTCTTCAAGAATTGCACTGCCTTCAATAGTACTTTTTGCCTTATGAGATGAAGGAAAGATAAGACTTCTGAGTCATCCCAACAGAAGGCTTCTGAATTGAAACTAAACTTTGGAGTCTTCTTTGCATTCTAGCTGATAGTATTATCAGCACAGCAGGAAAATATTTTAAATTTTGACAAACATAAGTTCTTAAAAATGCAATTGACCTTATTTGCAACAAACACATACCCTGAATTGCCCCCCTGCTAGTGCTGCAAACCTTTTTCACCAGTGCTTGTCTGCCACCACCTCCATTTGCTCTCAGGAAATATCTTTTATTCTGCAGTTAGCAGCCACCCTTTGATATTATACCATTAAGATGCCTGTTATGAAAAAAATAATTCCTTCATTACACCGTAAGGTAACATTTTATATGTTACCACCAGTTTTACATCATTTGTCTTCTTTCTTCTTTGCTTTATCACTATCTTCTTAGCCCACCAGATCTTCTACTTATAACAGGTTTCTCATTTCTGAGAGGCTGTCCATGTTTTCAGCTTCACTTCTTTCGCTTATAAACAAAGTGGAAGGATCCTAATCTTTATTTCCTGAACCAAGACTTCTGTCCATTTTCGTGAAGGAAGAAACACAACAGTTAGCAGTACAAAGGCAGCTGCTCCTAGCAATAAATTGAACAGTAATTGGACCCAAATAAAAAATAGGAAATTTGCATGAGATTCAACCAGGCAAGACCATAGCGGAAGAAAACCAAAACTCTATTTCAGTTTTCCATCCTTAATGAAACAGTTTTTCAGTATAACTAGAGTGACTTATTCTCTGACTGCCTTCACCCTCTATTTGTTCCAGTACTGAGTCCAAAGCAGCAATGTGTTCCCATTCTGAAATGGCCTTGAGTTACACACGCTACCACAAGATGGCAATACTTAACTAAAATTATCCGCTTTTTCAGTTCCCAGAGATGAATGATATGCTGAGAGAGAAAGTGACAGGAAGAAAGATGGATCTCACATTCTTCCTTATTCAGAATGCTGGTTTGCTAACGGGGTTTGCTGCTATACTGTTGATTACCTTGTATGAAGGAAATATTCAGCTGTGATAATGCAAGTGAAAATGGAATCGGTGTTGAAGACATCAAGTAAATTATGAATGGAAGACATTTGAAATCCATAAAGGGACATTTGTTTACTCTTCTTGGTTTTGAAACATTGACAGATTCCATTCTCCCCATTCCAAATGCAGGAAATTCCTTTATAGGACTTGCCATTGATCCAAATAGTAGGATCTGTCAACTTCTGTACTCTGCTAAGGAACTGATTCTAATACTTGTATTTCTACCTAAAATTATCAGACATACTTGAGTTGTTATAGAGAAAAAGGAGGTTACTTGGCCAGTAGAATTACGCAGTGTCTGCAACTGAGACCAAATGAAAGCTGAGCTCTTCAAGGAAGAAAATAATGCATTCCCATATCTTTTTGCAACTGTGATGAAAACAAGCAGTTTCAAAGCTGCTTAATTTCATGAGTTCTGCTGCAGGATTTTTCTATGTAAGGTCCCCTTCCACCGCCAAAACAAAACTAAAACGAAAAAACCAACTATTTCAAAGTAGATACTAATGAAGCTAAGATTTGTAATTACTAATTAACACTGGAAGGAAAGATACCAGTTACTGCTTTTGATCTTTTCTCTTTATGTGTGCACTAGGGAATTGTTGATTTATTTTCAGAACCACTTTTTTTTTTAATTGGAGGGAGCGTGTGTTAAATTTATGACAATTTATCAACTCCACAACATTTTAGAAACATTGAGTATTTTAAAAAATATATATAAATCAAGCATTTTGTATTTTATGAAAATAGCCTTGTTTTATATTTAATTTCCATAGATATCCCTTTAAAAAAAAAGTCTGTATTTTCAGTTAAAATTTTGAAAGGATATATTGTTAGTTGTACAAATTTAGAACTTTAAACTTGCTAAAATCAACATTCCAGGATGTTCTTTTGCAATTTGAATAGTTTTCTTGTGTGCAGTTTTGTGAAAGTTGTGTTACTAAAATATACAAACTTTTATTACAATTTGTTGCATATGAACTTTCTAAAATCATGTTTGTATGTATGAGTTCTTCTGAAATAAACAGTTTAGCTACGCTGATGTTGTAAAATGTGTGCAAAGAAATTCATACAAGTATCTGCCATTTCAGTCATGGCTAAGTTTTGAAGGAAGTATTACTATCATGTACTTAATTACCTTCTTTTACATTGATTTTTAGGCAAGTTTTACAGCTTTGAGGAAAATACAGCTTCTTGGCTTCTTTGCTTCCAGTAGGAAGGGACAAATCCTTTATTTTTCATTCACTATTAAAATACATTTTCTGTGAAGTAAGTGATTTAATGTTTTATTTGAATCTTATCTGTATTTACATTAGAAAAATGACTTTTCTAGGTCCTTGGTTGATTAAAAATAAACAGAACCTCCCACCAACAAAACCTAACCATTTTATACAGGCAAACTATGCAGAAATAGTAAATGATACTTAGTTTAAAATTTGCTATCTAGTTTAAAGTGTAATTGTAGTTTGTGATTTTTGCTGTATTGAACACATATTTATGAGTCACTTTATGCCCTCTAAGTTTCTTTGAAGAAGAGTCAACCCACTGCATACTTTCCTTTAATGCTTGTTGATTCCTTGCATATAAGTTGCTTGCAAATGCTACTCTTATGTGTCTCAAGAATGTTTTATTATAACTTTGGATGTTCACTGATGTTTAAAAATGGACTATTCCTATTTCATCTGATTATTAAAATAATATAGTGGCATGGTACTCTTCACCCTTACATCCAAAAGTTTGCAAAGGAGATTTGATTTTTATCATCTCACTAAGGAGAAAGAATTGAGACAAATATATCATTGAAATAACCTACTTTTAGATCACAGAGAAGAATAGAGATGATTAAACCCTAATATTCAGTCTAGCGCTTTAGTCACAAATTAAATTGCCTTTTCTGCTTGTGGAATATTTCACAGGTAAGAAAGCTTTTTGATTTCTCTGAGATCTGTCTGTATGAACTTTGGTGTTATGTTTATCCAGTACATAAAAAATGAATCTATTCCAATTCTAGGCCTGCCAGCGATTTGATAGGTTTTGCTGATACACAAAATGAGGAAGAAACATGAGCAAAAATGGCTATTTTGTTGCAGATAAGATTGCAGTAAGTTACTCCCTAAAAGTTTGAAAATCAGTTGAGAAAGTTATTTCATATTCTTTTTCACATTAATATTATCAGTAACACTGTTCATTTTATGTCATCCCTTCGTCCTTCTTTTCAACCATGGTGCAAATTCCATATATAACATAACTTCAGAAATCTCTCATATGCTTTGGTATTTGTTGTCGCCATAAGTCAAATTATCTGACTAACATACACTTGAGAAAATAATCTGTGTTAGCACTACATAGCTCACTGACATAAAGTTTTTTCTTTTTCATGGTGTGGTTCATGACCCAAGACTAACTTCATTAAATTGCATTAAAGTAGGAGGGGGGAAAAACATACCCATGAAAGACTCTAAAGAGAGAATAACAATGGTTTTTGGAGCAAAAAACATTTTGGAGCAAAAAAATAATGTGGATGAAAGGTAAACCTTGGAGAGATTCTGATTGCTTGAAGAAGGAACATACAGAAAAGTGAATTCGTATGTGGGGCAACCTGTCAAAAATGTGATATGTGATAACTGTCTGGTTTCAGGAAAAATGAACTGAAAATTAAATTGGTACTTAAAGTTTAGTGTTATTGCTTTTGACATTTCAATGAGATCTTTAGTGAATAAAGATTTAGAGCATCTTTTAAACTGAAAATTTGGTATCAAATTTTAAGCTAAATTAAATATCTGCTCTAATCTAAGAGTAGTCTGGAACTACTCTGGAAATATTTGCTTTGCTGCTCTTTCATGTTTTGCAGCTTGCTTAAAGTTTTGTGTTACCTTAGTTAAAAGATCTATAAAAGCAGATCTGTGTAGTTTACAGATGACTTGAATATACATAAATACATTCAATTATGTTAATGATAGCAACATAAACATCTCTCTTAATTGATGCATGTAGAGAATCAATTGTGTGATAATTTCTGTATTTTCTTTTGGGAATGTTCTTTTAAAGTCTCTTCTTGAATAAACCACTGATTTACCTGTAGCTAGGTGCACAGATTTACATATTTGCTTGCTGGTTTGCATTTTATTTTAAAGTTTTTTGTATTTGAATTTGAAGAATGCTACATCCTGAGAGAGAAGAGGTAGCTGACTTTTTCTACTTCATGTAATTCAAATTAAACCACTTACACTGACAAAGAGTGTTGAGCCAAGTTAACTCTCATGAAAGCGTAAGCCATTGCTAAATTTAGAATATGAATTGAGAATATTTTTCCTTTAACTCTAGACACTAATGCTAAGGAAGAAGTCTTTTGAGAAGTCTTTCAGATCCCTTAAAGAAAAAGAAAATCACAAAAACCCACAACAAGTCAAGTGAAAGTTGCTTAGATAAAATCTTTATCTTAAGAACAATAACTTGAAACGAGAGATGCTTCCACTCTTCCCTCTACAGCTATGGGAATTACTCAGCTGTAGTGACTAATCCCCTAGGAATGTTGCGCTTCAGGTGTTTGAGATTTCAGACAAAGTGATAGGTGCTGTGATTCATTTTCAAAAGGGTCAAAATTGTTCAGAACTATACAAGGGTAGAGGGCGCTGACTCTTCAGATTATTGATCTATATGTATCAGCAGATACCAGCAAACTGTTTCACATATGCATAGGCACGTAACTCTTATTTTAGGTTTTTACTTTTATTCTATTAAATATCAGAAAGTTTCCAGGGACACTGTAGCTTGCTTATCAGCTCTTACAGTACTTGATGCACAAGTTATTTCTCTAAGATTTTAGAAGAGACTCTCCTTTTCCTATCTGACAGTTCAACTCAAAATGTAGTGGTGTGATAAGTCTGTAAAACGAAAAGTAGACATCCACATCTTCTAGTGATTGGTACAATACATCTGTCAAGGACAAGGCTACAATGTCTTTTTAGGGTTTAATATCTAGTATATTTCTTTCGTATCTGATATATTGTCTTTTCCTTGATAGTTTTGAAGATAATATAGAAAAGTGCAACAGCATTTAATATTTGGGGTAAAAATAGGACATACTGAGTGACGTAGGACACGAACTACAGGCAAGATACGGCTTGAATTTATGAATAGCATGTGAATTCAGGAGGTAATGTGATTCTCTGTAATGTAGTTGTTAACTGTTGATCTCAGTGATAGCATTGTGAAAGAGTCATGGGGCGCAAATTGACTTCTTTTAGAAAGATAAGAGTTCCTGACTCTTGAGAACAAACAACTGCAGGTAACGATTGTTACATTTGTTGAAATAGAACACTGAATTAAAAAAAAAAAAAAAAGTAGAGTATAGGCAACTTACAATACCTATAGAGGGACCTGAGTACAGCACTCAGTGCTATTGTAATTTTTTCAGTCTTCTCCTTCTTTTTCTCTTTCTTTTTCTTTTTCTTCTGATGAAAAAATAGTATTGAGACAGGAAAGTAGCAGGATATGTAATAGTGACGTATCAGCCTCCATGCTGCTCAGTATTCCATTCTCCTGTTTCTTCTTCCTCTGGAAATTAAGGATACTGGTGGTTCAGTAAATTTTGGAAGAGAATGTACCTAAAACCACAGCAGGAACAATGTGCTTTATAAAGATGTTCCAAGAAATAATTATCTATACAGGACATTCAGGGAAAGTGCAAATTATAATTGGTTTATAAGAAAAATCATTTAATTCTAGTCCAATACCATTTTCCTTATTTTGACCACCTCTATAGATAGTTAGTCATTTTCAATTGATTCCTAGAGATTTTGCCCTGTCTTGGTTTGTATTACAGGAAAAAGTTGTCATTGTAATACATGTTACAGCTGGGGAGACTAAGTCAAAATCGTGAATAGCTATCCTGAAGAAGCTGGAAAGCTTAAGGGTGCCCCCAAAGCCGTATCATCAGTAATTTTCCATGCTTCTTTATTTACCTCTTTAAAAGAATATATATTGCTTACAATCTGTCCACCCATTGCCTTCTGTAGCTTTTTTTGTGTATACAGTTGTTAATAATGCTGGGAGTGATACATGTATCAGTTTGGTTCAGTTTAAAGGAGAAATAGCTGCTATTCTCCAGCAGCAAAATCCACGCCTTGTGTACAAAAAAAAAAAAAAAGAAAGAAAAAGACATCTAAGAACGACTCTTGCCTGGGATAAAAACCATAACGCTTCTCAGAAACTCCAAAATCTGATAATCTCAATACAGTCTGTTTTTTCTTGGGTTTACCTCACCATTGATAGCCAATGTCTCCTGATGGCAGCTACATTTATCCCATTCCAAATTACTGTTTTATCATCTAAGCAAGTGCTGAGAAGTCCATCATGATTCTATTTGCTGAGAATTTATAGTTGGACCTACAAAACTGCTGAAATTAGTGATGTTGTGTTTTGTGGAGTTGGTCTTGGCAATGCTGAATTAACATAAAGAAAATAATAGCTAGTAATCTTTTTCAGTAAAATCATTTTGTTATCATTCCAGATATTTAGATATTTCGAACAGTAATGGTATAGATAATTGTGGACAAGAATATTAGTTTTATTAAGCTAGCCCTAGAAATTTGGAGAAAGAGCAGCAATCTTTTCAGAATAAACTGGTTCTTTAGAAGAAAAAGTGCACAATGGTATATCCCTACTGCTAAAGTATCAGAAAACCAGTCTGCTTAGAAGAAATGTGAAATGAGCTGATATGAGCGAATATATAATTAGTA